ATCCTCAACGTTGAAAAATGCCCCGGCCCGAAGTGGTAAATGAAATATCTACGGAGGGGTTGACAACTTAAAAGCCTAACTAAAATTAACAGTCAGAGAACCAGGGTCAGGCGTGCAACCTGGACCTTGAAAAAAGACAAGCAGAAATTCCAATCTTTACAGGACTTTATACAATGTTTTTCAATTCTCAATGGCATGAGGGTCAAGTGAGAACCGAGGAAATCTGCTGATCTGAGGAAAAGTTGCATGCCTGTGGGATACTGTGGACTATTTTAAGGCAAAGAACTCGGCTGTGGCATGCATGATTGTTTTGAAACTAGCATGCATGTAAAGACACCTAGTATGTGAAGTTTACATTCAATGCAACAGAGGGTTTTGATGTTTAAGTCATTTGAAGCTTCTGAGTGCCTTTAGTGCACAATGGAACAAGTATGGTTCTGGGATGACTTATCTTGGAAAAATGCACGTTGGACGAGAGCGGAATGTCTGATTTTCACAAAACTGGTATCAAAATGACCACAAGGGGTTGCTGAAATGTTTGGGGGGGGAGCAGATTCCACATTTCCAGCTCTTTCAAGGTTAAGGAGGCATTAAGCTTTTGTGGCAGTCAGACAACACAGAAAGCTGGTCACATGCGCCCAATGAGTCAATCCTTACATACTGAAAGAAAAGTCACAGTCTCTATTGAATACAGGTTGAGTGCTGACGAGACAGCAAAAAAAACTGAACCTTCTCTTGGGCATGACGATGGGCTCGGCCAGTATCTCGTCCACGTTGGTGTCGTGCAGCTTGGGCATCTCGGGCTCGCTCTCGCTCCGCTCCAGGCCCAGCTTGTCTAGGTCCAGTGAGAATGTCTTGGGGTAGTTGCTGGTGGGGCCGTTACGGACGCCTGAAGGTGCCGTGCCTGGCCGCTGGGATTTGGTCGGGTTCCTGTCGAGACACAAAAGGAGACGGTGGTAGGAATGAGAGGCATCAAAGGGTGTGAATGGTTTCGAGAAATTGTGAATAGTTGAATAACTGTGGTGTAAATTGCAGCAGACCAATATTTGGCTTGGTCAAATGGGCCACCCACATCCTGAAGCCACGGAACGGACAGCGAAAGAGGTTTTTGGCCTACCCTTTTGCCCCTGGCTACTGTGCAATGACATATTTTGCATTGGAACACTCAGTTCAAAAAGGTGTCAAAATATTTAGAGCGTCTGAAGTCTTGAAAGTAAGCGTATTACCAAGGAGTGTACAAATTTGAAGAAAGTACCACCATGCAAAATCTACACCAGTTACAACACATAGCAGACGGCACACAAATGAGGCAGCTACAAGTCATAACACTCTCTATTAGGCACAAAAGCTGGCTAAAAACAGAAGCAATGATGGAAGATGAGTGATTTAAATGACAGGAGGCATTTAAGAGTAAGCGTCGATGGAACTGTAGTCATTATAGCGCATGGTCGTATGCTCAGTCATTGCAGTTATTTGCAATTATGACGCTGTTTTTATGTTTCGTTTTATCACTTTTAACTAAGCCTGAAAAATGTGATATTAAAAATAAAAGCATTAAGCGTGATGAGCACAGCTACTAGAAAACATCTATGTTTACATGCACATAAAGTACACACCCACCCACACTCGTATGGGCATCCCAAGGGAACACACATTAATTCCAAGACACACCGAGGCAAAACACAGTTAACTGTCTTGCTCAGGAACAAAAACCACAATTGCAATAACTGCAGAGATTCCCACAAGGAATTTTACTACTGCATTGAATGTGCACTCCCGTTACACATACAGGTGTGCATTGGCCTGCAATTGGGGGACCCCCTTTTGTTTTGGAAGACCTCCTGTTTATTTTGTACACGATTATCAACTGGGGACCCTCGTGAATCAGCACCCCTATTGTCCCTTGTCATTCAGGGTCCCTGAGAGAATGCAAAAAATCAAACTCATGCTGGTATGACCCCTCCCCCAAAGAAAAATTTATTCATGTTAAAAGCTAACTCAAAAGAGCAAGAGATAAAACGTGGACAAAAGCACTTTTGAAAGTAAGGCCGTGTCCCAATTACTTGGCTGCAGCTTGAAATTACACGAGACACGAGGGGAAGTGGATGCAGCTAAAACCACAGAGTTGTGTGTAAGCCGCAGCCAAATTAATTGGACATGGCCAAACTATCGGCATCAAAAACTGGGCGCAGATGGAAATTGCCAACACTGACAAACCTTGGGCTCAGTGCAAAAAGGCTATCACAGCAAACAATGTCAGTTTTGAAAAACCTCTTAGTATTAATGTGAGCATGGAAGAAATCTGTATTTAAATAGATTACAATTGTACTTTTATTTATTCATCTACTTTTTTGGACTAATATATTTAAATTTCAACCAATTTTTAGGCCAAATTTCAGGTTAAAAACAATATATTTCAGTAAGGACCTTTCAGTGCAATTTTTCAGCAAGGATCTTTCAGCACTGACACAAAATGCAAGAGCAAGAAATCCAGTCCACGGCTACACTTTTTTAGGGCACATTAACACGTATGGATCTTGCCAGAATGTCACTTAAGAGTTAGAAATGACACGTCTGTCTGTTACCACAGAATGATTGCAGGAAAATGGAAGAGAGAACAAAATTTTGCATTTGACGTATGTCGTCCGCTTTAATTGCACTAGAAAAGCAGTAGAAATACATGCCAATGGACTGCACATTTGGGCCTTATTCCGTCTCCACCAACCGAACATGCCCTAAGGAAGACGTATATTTTGCTTTTCCATGCTTTGATTCCATGTGCTTCTAGTCAAAATTCCGCAAATCAATAAAAGCTTTGCAGCTAGCAGGAAGAGACACAGAAAAACTAGACTGTACAGTACACTACACTACCTGTAGACAAGCCGGCCACCTGTGTCTGGTTCCCTAAAAGCCAGATACACACCTCTTTGCAATTGTCAAAAGGCACCAGGCTATATATCTCATCCAAAATCTTTGGCAAAACAAAATCTGTAGGGCTTGGCACTCCATGGAGTTGGCCCCTTTGGATTTTAAGGAACCAAGATGGCCGCCACTCAGAAACATTAGACTGTTTACCTGTACTGATCCCTCCATCCGGGGCTATTCAAAGTAATGGAGGTGAAAGGAGGTTAAAATGAGACTTGCTATGTTAATCAATTAAATACCTAAATTCAGAAGCAAGATATAAACACACTGCTATGCACGACCAATACAATCTTCAATACAGACCGTTACTACACAAATCACTAGGACTATTAGTTATGTGGAGGATGTCTCAGTGCATAACTAACTACCCCAAATATCTGCATGTTAGAAACCTACAGGATGGTGGCAGCTACCACAGTGAGTCAGGTATACTTGGACCAGGGATAGCTTGGGACTTAGTCCAGCAAGTTTTAGGGGATGTTTGGAGGGGAAATGGATGGTGGTTGACTGTTGAATGAGCGTGGATGTTGGTGGAGTATAGAACCTGTGTCGAGGAGCGAGTTCCATCAAGGACCACTAGTTAACTACTGGTTGGTTAGTAACTAATGCATGTGCAGTGAAGTTGAAGTGCAAATGACCCTAGTCGATTGTTGTTGGGTCATTTAGGCCAAAGGGGAGAAAAGGTGGCCACAAGAAGGGCAAAACGGCAAAATTAAAAGTGAAAATGATCATTTACTAGTGACATACTGTTTTTCCGGGGTTTGGATATAACTGGTTCTCTCTGCACTGTGCTATTAAAAACAGTTTATGGCAACCAACCAAGGGTCCAGCCTTTATAGGCCGGTCGCGAATAGTTGACTAGACTAGTCCAACCATTGTTGACAAGTGTGTGTTTGATCACAGTTAGTCGAACTATGGTTAACTATGGTCCTTGATCCAACTTGCCCAAGGTTGTGTAAGTTCTGTGGTGGAGAGTTGATGTCGACTTGGTTTGAGTTCAGTGTAAGGTTGGTGTCAGGTTGGTGTCATGACAGAGTTAAGGCCTGGTATTGGGAATGATACGAAATTGATTTGATGTATCTTTAGCATGAGCTCGAGAAGCAAGTAGGGTTGGTTTTAGGGTGGTGTAAATTTGGTGTAAAGTTGGTGCGAGGTTGCTATAAGTGATGTGTGTTTGGCCCAGTCTTGCGACAAAGTCAACCAAAGTTTAGTGTGGTCTAGGTGTAACTTTGATATAAGTTAGGCCACAGACACAACTCACGGGAGTCCAGACTTCTTTGGGTCGGCTCGGGAGCTCCTGTCCTCCTTCTGCTGGGCGGAAGCTGGGGTTGCCTTGGGGGCTGGGGCAGAGGGGTTCTTCTTAGCAGAGCGCTTGATGCGTTCCTCTAACATGCCCATGTCCTTGTCGCTCAACTAGCATTTAAAAAGAATTTTTCTGTTCATGAACATACTTCAAAAAACATGGATCTTTTTGAGCATGCGAGGACAGAGTTACACATCTTACAATGACTTTATGACATATCAGTAACTCAAATTGATTATCACATAAAAGAATTGAATAACAGGACCATGTGAAGTGATCTACCAAAACCTGGAGACATGAATTGCATCTGTATGATTAGCTAAACGTGGTAAGTACGCATGCGTCTATGGTAAATACAAACATATCGGGTAGTGGCTTCGTGTACTCACTAGGGCATGTGCTATTTCCAGCCCTGGCAACATAACTTGGTCGAGGCTAGAGCTGAATATAATACATGCCCATGAAGCTCTTAGCTGGAAGCTTCCATAGATCTCTATTATGGGGCAGCCATCTTGCTTTTCTACCATTCAAAGTAATGTAACCAAACTGAGGCTGGAAGGAAAAATAGTCAGTTCCCTTTAATCGATATGCGGAGTTGTATTACTATTGCCAAAGGGGCTACAAGGAACAAGAGAAGCATAGCCAACTAATAAGGACATGGCTATGGCTGAAACAGCACATGCCTACACGGGGAATACATGTGATTTCCAGTCACGGCCAAGTCATTCAAGACACGCAGCACGCCTTACATTGCCAACAAACTTGTAGATGTCCTCTCCCACCGTCTGGTAGGCCTGGACAAGCGTGTTGAGAGCAGCCGAGCGCACGCTGTTGTCCCGGTCACCAATCTGGCCGGCGATCTCCTTGACGGCCTTGGGGGGCGAGGGCTGGCAGACGTTGATGCCATAGAGCTCGATGAGGCAGCCCAGTTCCTCAAGACACTCTGCAGCAGAGAATAAAAAAGACCACTCTCGTTTTGCTTGCGACATATATGGGCGGACACAGTTTACAGAAATATCACCTTTTGATTGGTTTTTTGATGTTGATCTCGAATTCATTCAAAACCGAATTCATTCAAAATCGACATTTGTCCCATTGAGTTTGAACAGGGGTTTGTATTTTCATTTAGTAAGTAGTGATGCTTGCATTGTCAGCTGGTGTCCTGAAAGCTGCGTGGGATTTTTACCCCTTTGAGAACTGCTCGTTTACTTTTCTACAGATGGCCAGTAATAATTTTAGCAGCTTCTTGTAGGAAAAAACACGACTGTGACGTCAAAAGAATGGACCCTGTAAGAGTGGGAAAACCACACAGGCAAGCATACGTGGCAAAGCACAAAAACATTTTAATTTGCATTAAAACACTCCCGAAAGCACAATTCATGACTCCCACAGAAATCTGAAAATAAAATTCTGGGGCTTTCCAGGACTAAAAACATAATGATTTCCGTGACATTTAATGCAAATTTGTAGAGACAAGTTGTTTGGTATTGTGAACTGGATGACTGCCATAGCCACTACTATAGACAGACAAGGAAATAGCCTGTAAATTTATCATTAATTTGTTACGTTATTTCAAAACTAGCCCTTGCATGATCTTGATTTCCATGACTTTTTCTTCTCTGATGACAGGATTCCACGACACCCTATTGTTTTCCCTAACTGTCCACAAACTTTTCCCCAGAATTTTCCATGAAAATTCCAACAACGACCTAGCTCCAGCTTTAAAAGCTTCTTTTTGCCTTAAGAGTCACGTTACCTGTTCTCTGTCGGGAGTTCTTGGACTTGAGTCCGTCCATGATGAACCCGAACATCTTGCTGGATGGATAGACTTTGGTGAGGAGTCGCATGACCGCCCGCACGTCCTTGCGGATGTTTTCTTTGTTGTCACCAACCTGGCGTGATCAGTGAGGACCAATGAGTTAGACACTGAGACACTTTGCCTGGGCCCCCGTGCCACACAGAGGAAAGCAATGGTGTCAATCGCTTGCATTCATGGTACCGGACTCTTTTTCACTCTTTTTGTGGGGAAAGACAATGATTTGGACGCTGGGGAGGCCATCTTTGCCGAGGCCCTTGTGCCAACTAGGACACAGCAATGGTGTCAATCATCATGCATTCATGGTACCCGACTGTTTTTGAAAGCCTTGTTTGAAATTTGAGAGTCACACTGGCCTTCAATGCGAAACGCAGTGCATCTAAATTTGTTGGAAGTTTATACTTTTAAACAAAAGTTGGGTCTCCAAAGTAGCCTACAAGATGTCCACAGGACACCCAGATACCCTTTGGCTAAAAACTTGGAAGGGGGGTCCATCTCCAGTTCTTTTAGGGTTGCAAAGGTTCAATTTGTGGATTCCTTTCCCCTTTTACCTTTGAGATGAGGTACGGAATGAAGGAGGAGGCCTCGTGCTCCCGCAGGCTGAGGTCTTCCTCCGCCATGTAGGTGAAGACGGCCTTGAGGTACTGCAGCACCTTCATGATGATGCTGGTGTTGGTGTCAAAGAACCGAATGGTCAGGTACTTGAGCAGCACGTCCAGGGAAGCCATGGTGGCATCCTTGTAGATGTCCAGATTCTGGGGGAGGGGGAGGAGGAAGGAAGAAGGCGGGAAGAGTAGAAATGCAGCTTGTTATTAATCCTGGGGCCAATTTCATAGCGGTGCTTGAGCAAAAAAATTTGTTCAAGCGTGAAAAAACCTTGCTTGACAAATCAGGTTACCAGCCAATATCTCTTGTGATGAATGTTGTTTTAGAATGGTACTTACCTGTCTTTTGGTTAGCATGACAATCAGATAGAGTTTGAGCTAATAACCTTTGTTTATTAAAATTAAGCAAGGTTTTTTTGTGCTTCAGCAAATTCTGTGCTAAAGCAGCTCTATGAAATTGGCCCCTGGTTTGAAAATCACAGGTGTGAGGAAAAACCCCCAAAACATGCAAGCCAGGATTTTTCAGGCCGATAGATATTTAAGATGATGCGTGTAGTTGAGGTGTTAGATGATTGATGATCTCCTGTTGGGGAAAAAATTAGACACGTGACGGAACGAGAGTCAGATCACATGCCTCAAATAAGGATATTATCATTCCTTGGTCGACAGGTCGTACATTTCTGCTTTTTACAAAGTTTTACTGGAACCAGGCATAGGTTTTCCTAATAGGAGGCTTGTCCTCAGAAATGCCAGTGGAGCTTTTTTTTTACTCATTTCATTCTTTGCAAACTGTCCTGCCTAGTGCTAACAAGGGAAAATAGCTGCTAAACCCAACCAGACTACAGGATATTGTGGCAGCTGGACTCAAAAGCAAAGAACTTCACTTATAAAAGGAGTTCTCAGCCTTATCCAAGGGCCCCTCAGACAGTTCTTAGACAACTGGGGCTAGCCTAGTAAAATAAAAACGTGGAATAAAGAGTGAACTAAAATCTGCCAAGATTTCAGATTATTACAACAATGACAAATTTGGTTCCTGGCGTTTTCAGTCCTGTACCCTCACAAAAAGTGTCCTTTTTTAAGGGTTGTTGGAACAGTAATAAAGTTTTTCAGGCAAAGGGTAACACAACTCTTCACCAAATGCCAACAAGCACATTGAGAAGGCAAACCCAACAAACACGTTTGGATGAGCCGAAAGATGGACCAAGAGAGGGTTCAATCTTCTGGCAACAGAGGCTCCTTTGGTGGGGACTGCACTTTGCCGGTTCACAAACGATTCTGAAATGCATGTGTTATGGTCGTGTCGCTACAAACCAAATGAGCATTCCCTACCAACACAGCTCTTTTCAACCGACAACAAGGGTGCTTCAGCTCAAGAGACTGTCTCTTACCTCCGTGAGAGTGCTGAGGGCCTGTATGTGGTACTTGAAGTCACTGTGGAAGAGCTGCGCTATCATGGACTTGCTGACGCAGGCCTGCATCTGGTCCTTGAGTTGGTCGATGTACTCCGCCCTGGGCGTGGTGAAATTCCACTTGAGCACCTGCGCCAAGCGGAGAGAAAAAGACATTATGGGGTTTCTGAAACAGAGGCTGAACTTGCAAACTTCAGACAGGAATGAGTTCTTGAAAACTTGTTGAGCAGAAAACGCTGCAGGGAAAATGTTTGTGTTCAGCAAAACAAAGCAAAAGACAAGTCTCGAGTAATAAACTTTGTACAGCACTTTAGCTAATCACCTGTTTTTTTTGGGGGGGGGGATTTTCTGTGCTCAAAAAACCAACACGGCTTTTGCATCAAATCACGTTCCGATGACCTTTCCACAAGTGGCCCAAAACATGAAATGTAAACTAATCCACAGATGTCACAGGGTATTCTCGTGAGGAAGGCTTTACCTTGAGGTCTTGTTCATCTTTGATTCGCTTGTCTTTGCCGTTGTTCATGATCAGCGCTGGCCCTGTTTCCTCCTCGTCTCCCTTGCCTCGCTTGGTCGTCTTGCCACTCTGAGAAAGGAAATATTGCCGACAAAGCAAAAACAGGCTTAATATGCAGAAATCAACCTTCACTGGAACTAAACAGCACATGCTCAGTGCTTCTCTTGATGAAAGGACACCGGAATGCAGAGGTTCCTGTTGACTTCGTTAACTAGCTTTCCACGGTTGGCAGTGCTGACGGGGTACCCTTGAGAAAATGAACATGAATTGACTCCCACGACAATGAAGGCCCGACTTGAGGGAGCTGCTAAAGACGAATTTCTTGTTGAACCACAATCGGAAGAAAAGCCGTCACGAGCACATGCAACGCATAAAGCACTGTTGCCATATGTGCTAAGCGTCGACACTGTTGACGATTAGCATCAAGCAGTACCAAGGCATCTTGATTTACGCCAGTGAAACCTGGGTTTCAGTTACGAAGTCTTTCCCACTGTTGAAAAAGTGATAGGCCTACCATCCTGACATTCTCATATTTGTGTATTTGCTGTTGAAAATGCTCAACATTCTATTTTGTCTGTGGTGTGCAAAGTATTCAAAATTTACACAGCCCTCGCGCAAGATGCGGTAACAAAGGAAAAAAAAAACATTTACTTCAAGCAAGTGAGATCAAGACCTTTGGCCGATCTAGTCTAGTCGCTAATTTAGGACCTGTCCATCAAGGGTGGTTACGTAGCTGGTCACTGTAAGTGTGCATGTCCTAACGTAAAGCTGAACACCCTGACCAAGAGTAGCTGCATTGACCCTTGACCGCAGGTCGAAGAGAGACAACTTCATTACTAGTCTGCAGGCAGAAGGGACCACTGTCTCATCTACATGTACCTACCTGGCCATCTGTCCCCAGGACAATTTTCAAGCCAAACAATAGGTAAAAATCTAAAATAACTACAAAGCTTATTTTTTTGTAAATCCTATTTTATTTAAAAAAAAATCGTAGTGTCGTATTGTCACTGAAAAATCGTACAAAATACGATAAAATCGTACTGGTTGGCAGCTCTATAAGAGTGTAACTATCATTTAACCCTCTTAGATCAGTATAAAATACAAGTAAAGATGCACAATTGTACCAATGTTGAATTCGAGTACATTTTCATGAGTTTAAAGCCTGGTTTCCATATTGTTGTTTGTAACACAGATGGTCCGCAAGACACTGTGCAAGGTCATTTAACCAAATAATTAAATAAAATGGCGTCTGAAACTCAGAAAATTTTTAGTTAGCAATGTTGCCTCTTAAAGCCAAACTGATACTCCAGTTTGATGTAATTTGTTAATGGTCAGCTATTTTGTTGATGATTGGGGCTGCACATGCTAGTAATAGGGAGAAAATGGATAAAATGAGTGGTACTAATTGAGAGAGACATCGTTGCACGCTCTTCATGCCAGCGTGCGTGTTCGTATAGGCCTACTCAACGACTTGACGCAGTCGGCAAAGTTGAACCGAGCTCAACTTTGCCGATCCGTCCGGGGCTGGTTTGCCTTTGTGGGGACACTTCCATTTGACATGTTTCCATTCGTCTGCGTTGCAGTTTGCATCTTGATTGCATTGCTCTCTGCGTTTCTCACGTCAATATGGAAACCAGGCTTAAGTATCAAAGAGAAAAAATGTATGAGCACATGCATTAGCACTAGTACTAGAACTAGCACTAGTACCAAAAAACACTGCAAACTATTACCTGGATTGAGTAATATAAGTGTCAATTCACAACTACACGTATCTTACGATCTTTGCAACTTAAAACGATGGAAATTAGAATCTTTGAAAACCGAACGTTGGAAAGTTCTGCTCTAGTGGCACCGACCGTTTGTGTTGCATTGTGGTTAGAAAATAAATATGGTCGGTCATTTAGTGGCTAGGGAAAGCGGATTTAGTGGATTAAACAAACGTAGTGTGGGCTCCACGGGAGAGAAGTGCAGGGTTTTGGTCCTGGGGATGAGGTGCCGGTAAATTGGGTACTACCCCCTCCCCTCCTCCCCCAAAGCAGCGGGGGAGGGGGTTAATATAGGCCGACTCAGACAGGCTGTTAATTTGGTTAAACTTCCCCCCACGGATGAACCATGCTGTGCTTAGTGGACTCGGTGCAGGGACAGGCATAAAAAATTAACAGGAGATGGCTCCCTCTAAAGAATGAATGTGTGACAGTGCAACTGGGGGTGTCGGGTCCAGTCAGAGGGCTCCAGAGCGCTATGTGACCGCGTAGTTTCCTTGCAGTCTGCCAGAACTACCCAACGCGAGCATGCTGTAAGCAACTGAACTGAACGTGTACCGGTACCTTGTGCATGGTAAACTCGACAGCGAGGCTCCTTTGCACATTACAAGCAAACCTTGAATTCTTTATCAAATGGCATTATACCGTAGTTAGGTGCAGCTGTTTTTTATCACTCTGATGCAATATTGGGTGTTGGTTCTGAATTTTTCTCATAACATTTTGCCACTTACAAAGCTGTGAGGGCTTGCCTAGTGTAAACACTGCGTGCGGCGCTGTGCTTTTTTACTGCATGTAGGACAATGGGGTATGTGCGTCGGGTCAGGCGTGTCATCATGCGCTTGGTTCATGTGCGTAGGGTGCAGACTCTGCACAGCTGAGGCCAAACCAGCCGGCTGCAGCTAGGGTTATCCATACCGGCTTATGGGGAAATTAAGGGCAGTGGTTAGCCAGGGGCTTCCATAGGCGTACATGTCTCTGACAGCCACAACTTCCAGACATGGGCCTGATTTTCACCTTGCTTGTGTTCACAGATGGGTCATTCTATAACTTAGGGGTCCATTTGTTTTTGTGTCCCTGTCAAATCTGACAGGGACATTTTGCAAGTCCAGATACGGTTTCTCATTTCCAAGAGTACTGAATTCACGCAAATTATCTGCCAAACAAATCAAACATTTGAAATCAATTTCCATGTCAAATTACAGAGATCAGGTGCAACGGGGACACAAAACTGTCCCACTTTTGGACCCCAAATTTATAGAGTGACCCAGATACTGCATGAAGAAATGAATAATGCACAGGTAAGCTTGATGTCCGCTACATCAGGTATTGACTATTTATGCAAACATGCACATTTCTAGCAATTATTACATACATGTACTTGTGCATCCGAAAGAGAACATGCAAAACGGACCAGGAATGACCAAAGTAACACAATCAGAGAAAGGCTTGTCATGCATTGGTTAGGATTTTGTTCCAGTTTCTTGTATTAGTATCCCACCGGGGAACAAAATGGTGGTCTACCTTTCCCTTGGCAGCCGCCGGGGCCGGCTGTTTGCCTTTCTTTGCTCCAGTGCTAGGGGCACTGGGGGCATTGTTGGCGACTGGTTCGCTGGTGGAGGAGGCTGAACTACTGACCGAGCTCGTGTCGGGCTGAATGAAAGGGAAAACGATGAGTACACAAAGTGCACAAAAGACATAAGAACACTGATCTACCAATAATTACCAACAAAAATGTTTTTAAATTTAAAAGAAATTAAAATATTACAGTCGTTAACGTTCTTTCCTTCTCGAGGAAAACATTCACAGCAAGCAAAGGCACATCCACACTTCAGGTGAAACACGAAAATAAAGCAAGTTTGGAATCACGAAACGTTTGCAGTAGAATTTGTTCGAATTGAAACTTCTAATTCACACTGGCTCTTTTGCACTGAATATGAATTGGCCTATGAGCAGTAAGCTAGATCTCAAACGACCCAACAGGTGTACAGAAATGATACAGTGACGAGGGCGTCTGAGCATTTAGACAACCTGAGGGTCATTCTGGACAGCCATCACATTCTGACACAATTCTTTGAAAAAAACAAAAAAAAAACTTCGCTATATCTTCTTGGCCAATTCAGGGCAGCCAATAATCAAATGCTGATTACAACCCCGCACGTGTATCCCTAGTCAGTCAAGACACACATCCGTAGCACTATAAGGCTCTATTCCTAGATTGGATAAAGGAAACAACTCAAAACTACAAAACTGCAGACTGGAAAATCCAAATACAACAGTGACATAAAAACATGCAGCAACAGCACGCACAAAAATTGAGCCAAGGAAAGTAAAGAAAAGACAGCGTGGGAAAAAGAAACAGGATAATTCACAACAAAAATGATCCACAACACATCGAGCCAGACCCTGAGATATTTTCATAAGGACGTCTTAGAATCCTGGAAAATTCCACACTGTACAGGACAACCAATGACAAATCTTTTGCACTCTTAAACCGTGGAGTCAGTGGAGTCAGTGGAGTCAGTGGTACAGTACTTGTCCCACTGGCAAGAAGTTCTGGTATTAAAATCTTGGAGGATTCGGGTTGAGTTTGGGAAAATGGAGAATGTGACAAACAGAAACGCCGAAGTTTTAACGATGGGCATTTGCCTTTACACCGATGCATATTCATAGGGCAAAACTTAACATCTCCCGGATGCAAGAAAATTATATTACATCTTGAGAGAACACTGAAGATTCAATTTTATTAAATGTCAGACAATCGATCCATACCTAACAATACAAAGAATAGAGCATACCTTAGCCGGCGCACTCTTTGGTCGTTTCCCCTTCGCCGCCGGTTTCTCCACTTCCTCCTCCGATATTGGAGAGGCCTCCTCAATGGCCTGCTTCTTCTTCTTGCTGGCTTTTCCGGCGCCGGCAGGTTTCCCGGGCTTCTCAGGGATATTTGGTCTCTGTTTCTCCATGATGGCGCACACGTTTGTCTTGGAAGATGGCTGTCAGAAAAAAAGAAGGGATTACTTGAATATGAAAGACTTGATATCACACAGACGTTTTGTCTCAATGACACCATTGTTTCTTTCTACAGTCATTTGCAAAAGTTTAGGACCAGCCATAGAAAATGCATTAATCTGAAGGAAAACCGAACTGAAACCAATCAATCATGGCAACTTATGTTTATTTTCAATATGTAACCTTGGTACTGTGGTTGAACATTTGTGACTATATTTCCATGATTTGACATGTTAACAGTCTAATATTCAGTGTGCCCTCCCTTATTTCTGATTGCTTAGACTGGCTTTTTTTTTACCCATGCTGCCTTGCAGACAAAATGTCATACAAAACCTGACTTTGCAAAAAATTTCATTCCAATGGGTATATAGCACTACACTGATGTTATGCACCACTGTAAAATCATGTTAAGTAATCATTCAGTGAGACAATGTAATGCAGGTCCAGTGAAAGAAATACCAATAAAATTCAAGGTGGTCTTAAACCTTTGCAAATGACTGTACATCAATCTTCTCGCAACTGTACATGTGTTTCCTGTCAGAACAGATCATTTTCACATGAGCACGGACCGGCATGAATCACTGGTACTTTGTAATTATGGGTTTTGCCCTTGCAATGACGTATATTCATATTTCAGGTTGTTTACACGAGTAGGAAAACATTTTCACGTCTATTCAAAGAAGTGGAAAAACATTTTAATGCCTTTTCGCACAAGTGGGAAAATATAGTTTCATGTCTCTTCACAAGAGTGCATAAAAATGTTCATGTCTATTCAGAGAAGTGGAAAAATACTGTTTATGTCTTTTCACACAAGTGGGAAGATGATTTAATGCCTTTGCACAACAGTTGGCAAACATTTTGATGTGTTTTCACAGAAGTGGGAAAAAAAATTGTCACTTTTTTTCACACAGTTGGGAAAATATTTTCAAGCCCTATGCAATGCAAATGTGCATGTCAAAGCTAATCCTTTTCACAACGTTTCCCATTCCATTTCAATGTTAATTTTCAACTGCAATGTACTGTACATTGGCCAAGCAAATATTCCTGTTGCTTTGCAAATTTTTTAGTGGCTCTACAAATTTGGGTTCGCATGGTCTTGTTTGTGCTCATCGGGATTTCCAGGAACGCACCTTGAGCTTGCCGGTCATCTTGACCATCTTGTTGTAGTCCAGGTGCATCATGAAGAGCGGCAGGGCGGCCTGGGCCTGCTTGCGGACATCACCATTCCGGTCCTCCAAGGCGGCAAAGAGAACGGGCACGGAGAGGGCCAGGTCGGAGGGCAGGGTGCGGTACTTGGCCAGCTTCTCTGCCAGAAAGCCGAAGATCTGCGGCGGAGGATCAACCGTTTCAAAGTCAACAAGAAGGGTGTGCATGCTTTCAAGTGCGGGCTTGGTGGGCTCACCTAGCAATGAGTTCCCTTCTAAGGCGGTATCGCTGATCATCATTTGTATTTTGCTCATTGATGCACTCATTTCCGTGCTCCTTCAATGGAATGTAACACGATCGAACAAAAACGGATCTTTTGCCGACCCTGTCCATTTCAAAGGTTTTTATAGATTTGAGAAAAACTGTCAGGTTCACTGCTGAAAAACCCTGTGTTGAGACAACGTGCACGGTGCCCACATCTTCCATTGACATGTATCTATACCGATAAAAGTAACATTTCAAATGCACTTGCAGCATATGCCGGCATCTCACCTCCATTCTCAGGAATGGCTTGTCCACATTCAGCGCCGTGCTCAGGATCTCGTCTTCAATGAATGGAGCCAGACCAACGTGCTCCTCGAATGCGTTCAGTGCTGCAATGGCTGCTGCCCTCACAGTCGGCTGGGGAGACAGAATGAACAAAATGAAATCATCTGATCATGACACTGTCACAACCACAAATAATGCCATGCTTGACACACCAGGTTGATTTCCCCCCCCCATAAACCCTGTAAAAATAATACAGATGTTTAAGTGAACAGTGAATGTATTAAACCTGGAACACGACTCAAACAGTAGATTAAGTTATGCTAGATTTACAATGAAATTAATAGGATATGTGTCTGCAGAGACACGTGGAGGACAAATTCCCATACAAGTTGGAATTGCAAACCTTCATATCAGCTGTCAGAAGGAAGAGTCCGGGTGCTAGCCGTGTGACGTATGCTTTGACTGGGGGACCCATGGCGCTGGCTATTGTCGCACAGATATTGGCTGTGGTGGTTTGCTGTGACCGGAAGCAAGCGAAAAGGTCGGGTTGAGTTTCAAACAACTTTGAGAGAACTACGACTTTTGAAATAATGAGGGACAATACAATTTCTAACTCAGGAAACACACTCTGCACTTGTTTTTGAAGTATGAACTCCAAATAACTTTCAAGAGAGGAAAGGCACAAATTCTGTGTACTGGCATTTTGTGATGCAGGCCAGAAGTAGGTCTCCAATCAATAATACGGGGCTATTCAAGATTGGTAATTGTTGAACTTCTTTCATGACTCACCAGTAATTTGTTGGAGTCTCCCAGTCTCGCCTTCAGCGCTCCGGCCAGCTCACCCAAGTTTGGCGTGATGTGCTTCGCCTCTGCTAGAATTGTTGTGACCTGCAAATTTACCAATGAGAGAGTTCTTCAACACAACAGCAAAAATACAACTTTCCACGTTGTCAAATGAGCCCTGAGAACAAATTCTGACTTTAATCAGTAAAAATGCTAAATATTCCAGTCACTTCTGATAACCAGTGCCTATAGAGCGCCGTACAACAATTTAAAGCCATGCCCATGCAAAAGCAGATTCTTAGTGGCAAAGCAGGTGAAAATTGGCCATTCAAATTTCTCAAAACTGATCTTTAACCCTAACCATCCTCAATCCTTCCAAATCCTCCGGGCGGTTTGGGAGGATTCTAAAGGATTGAGGTTGCATGGCAAAGTTGCATTCCTGATTGCAAAGGATGCATTGTCTCAAGGTTGTGGGTGAGACCTTGTGTTGTTTATGTTCAGCCATACGTAAAATCATGCCCACATTATATGTTAGACCCTCCATACTGCTCCAGAATACCATTCACACTGCCTCAACATAATGAAAGGAATTACTGGAGGATTTAAAAGGGTTGAGGCAGTGGGCTCCCCTTCACAGAACATATTTAAGAAATATCAGAGGATTTTGAAGGACTGAGGCTGTATCTAATTTTTTTCATGGGTGCTCTTGGAGGATTTTGAAGAATTTGAGGGTGTATCCTAGCCAAAAGGGCCTAGGCGGTGAGGGTTAAAGGACTGTCAACTACCCAAATTCTACAAAACATACGAGTCATCAAGTTTTATTTTACCATAACCGCTTGGACAGTCAGCAAATCAAATATGCGGTATAAGAGACAGTAGGCAAATCAAACCAAAACATCCAACGAATAACACGATTGGTCACTTGTCAATTATATATAGCAGGTTTTGCCCTTACCCAACGTATATTAAAAAGCACTGTATTCTCAGTGCTTGTCCAAGAGCTTGCAAAAAAACCTCATAAGCTTACTCGGGTGGGACTCGAACCCACGACCTCCTGCTTACTAGTGCAGATGTCTTAACAAATCGACCACCGAGCTTGCTGGGGTCGGCTGGCCGGTCCGAGTCAAATGAAGCAGCGGGTACTGCAAACTATTTTCAAGATGTATTTTTGCATTGGGGAGATGTTAATTCACTTGTCAAAAGTTCTTCCAAACCATCATAAAGGTGACCAATTGCATCTGCTGTCACCCGCACTGTTTTTCCCACACCTTACCTTTTCAAGAGCCTCTCCTCTGATCTTCCATTTGGAGTCAGCAAGCTCCTCGATCAGTGCCGGGGTGATCTGTCCTGAGATGTCCGTCCTGGGGACGAGGTCTGCCAGGTTCATTCCGCCGGCTCCGGCCCCACCCGCTTCCTCCTCCGCACCCTCATCTTCCTCTTCGTCTTCCATCGCGTTACCGGAGCCCGGCACCTTGGACTTGATACCCCTGAAGGGGGCTGGTGGCTGGTTGCCCGCCACCTGTGCAAACAAAGTTGACATTTCAATTAGAAACACTGTTGATTGAAACAAAAATACCTCAGACCTGAGATGTTTTGAAGAGAGTCCCAAGAATCCCAGAGTAAATAAGAACGGGACAACCAACGGAATGCAGCACTGGTAAGACCTCCACTGCAGTCTGACTGGCCTGGCACTCAAGCAAGTATAAAGGTTTCAATGTAGTTTAATGTAGCATGTTGGGCAGTTATTCACATGAATGGACCTTATCTCATAGGTCATAAGAATGATGCATGTGAGCTATTTTTGGGGGCTGCGTTCAGGCAATCTCAGTGTGGACTAGTGTCCATGTGGCCATGCATACTTGATATGATCTCCCGTTACCTTTAACTTGAACTTCTTTTAAGACTCAATAAAACTTTCATTTGGAGCTAGAGTGACTATGTTGTGAGCATTCGACCACGGACCATTTACCCAAGGATGTGTAACCGCGAGCGGCCCCAGTGCAAACACATGTGCGACCTTGGTTCCATGCGTGTTATGGATTGTTATTACCCCCGCAGGCGCTCTCAACTTTCTCGAAAAAACTCGTGACCACATGACACTCGTTGCAGCATGTACTACGCAGCCATGGTTATGCCAAGATGACCCGCCGACGCGATGCTTAAATCTATTCGTTTTGACGAATAAATCTTCATTTATCGATTTCAAGGAGAAACAAAGTTTTCATGAGGCAAAATCCCCAATTTTGTGGTAAACTTTTCTGAGAATGTATAGGATGAAATATCTTGTAAAGCATATTTTTAGAAAGGGTGTACCGACTTAAAATATTACATGAAAACAACGTGGTAGACAGGAATATATGTTTTATTATTAGAGAAAGTGTTACACAATCCAACTTAATTTCTGCTTTGATATTGTGCCGGCTGTAACACACACTGAACCAGCTCTGAGCTTAAGTTGCACATCCCTGGGTAAATGGTCCATGATTCGACTGACCTTCTCAAACTCGGCATCGATCTGTGCCAGCAACGCGGCCTTCTCGCTCTCAAACAGGGAGCGCAGCACCCCGCCCATGTACATATACATGACCCCTATCAATGAGATGGCCGCAGTCCGGACCTGGGGGTTGACGGCCGCCAAGGCCTTCTTGATGAACGGGATCAGTGGCTTCACGTTCAATCTGGAAAAGCAATGAACCAAGACCCAAAAAATGTTTAAAAGTTCAAAACAAGAGAAACTTAAAGCGTGTTTGGAAAAAAAAAAATCACCTCACCAAGGGCGTGAAAGCCCTCAACGATTAAGTATCATGGCTAGGTAGTGAGTTAGGTAGGTCGTTTTTCTGAGGATTCAAGAGGGTTCCAGAAAAAGCATCAAAGGAGTTAGGGCTCAAGGTAAATTCTGTTAAAGCAGCACAGATGTGGATTTATTTTCTCTAATTTTTCCTTTCTTTTGGTGCTTACGTGGTGAAACCAAATTCTTGGATTGCCTGTGACAGCCAGTTGAGCGTCTCAGCCTGGTTCTTGGGGTTCTTCTGCTCATTGAAGGCGTAACTCACCATCTACAGGGTGACAAAGGCACACATGAGTGGACAGCATCAACAAATCAAGGCCATCGTGCATTAGCTGTGGTACCTACACGGGTTCTGATATTCCGAATCAAGTTTATTTTTCTGTACTTCACAGGCTGAGTCAATTTTACTAATACACGACTGAAGCATTTTTATTACTATTCTGTCAGATGTTGATGGATTATCCGGTTCCTGGGTGACTTTGTCATACATGCGCATGCACCACTGATTGCAAGTTTCCCTCAGATGAGCACTCATGTTACGCGTTAACCTCCGGTTCCATGCAACTCTATGTAGAGTGGGTGTGGTTTAAACTGATGAGACGTCACATTTATTAACCAGATAGTAAGGAGTTTTGTGTCTACATACTAGAACTGCATGTACAACGCGACAGGCTAGACTTGCCTCAAAAAGAAGTCTGGCGGGTATTTCCAGATACCCCTATCTCACCTCATCGGCGATGTATCCCAGTTGTGTGGCCTCGGCTACTGCCGTCATGGACTCCCTGACCTTTGCCCCCGATTTGATGTCGCCGATCTTGTCCACCAGGCCCCCGATGACGCAGCTGGCTGTCCGGCGGGAGAAGCGCGCCTTCTCGGCCAGGATGCCCACCATACTGACTTTGGAATTCAGCACCTGCGGAAATATCAGAGAGAAAAAACGGGCCTGCTTGAGACTGGCAGAGCCTAGTTTCCCACAAACATAATCAATTTGAAAAGGGCGATTTACACTGCAGTGTGCCACCAAGAGGTAGCCGTGGAGAGGCCTTTTTCCCCCCGTGCATTTTGGGGTAAACAGTAGACAAAATTCTATTTGCCAACTGGGCTACGCGCTGGGAACTTGAACTGTTTCCTATGTTCATTTGTCTCGGTTGAGGATTCAAAGATTTTTTTTTTTATTATCAGTGTTTATTAATCAAAATGATGGTTTTTGTGAAGACAGGAATGGCTTGATGATGAAAAATTTCCTCCAGTCGTCTACTTGACATTCGCTCAGTAGCAAATCGTGGCTAGTCGGCCAAATTTTTGCAAACCTGAAAAAAAAAATGCCTCTGGGGCAACCTTGCATGATCTTAGTTTCAAGGATGTTTCCCCATAGCTTTTTCCCCTCTGAAAACAGGATTCAAGGACATCCCATTTCCCCTGAACTTTCCACGCGTTCTCCATGACTGTTCCATAACATCCTTTTTTCTTATTTTTTCCATGACTTTGTGACTTTCCAGGACAACTCTTTTCAAGATTTTCAATCACCACGGGAACCGATATAAAATTTGGCCTTTGCAATTTTACTGACCTGAAAATTGGCTTCCTTCCAACCTGGTTTTCTGCACATGATTCGGATCAGCACTTGCGTATTGATGCTCTCTTTGTCCATGTTGTGAACTTTCTGTGAAAGGCAAAATCAGACAATAATTTAAAGGAATCAATAGATGGTCGGTTAACTTTTTTCTCAAACTATCTCGAAGTACGAGCACTGACCGTCGTGAACTCCTCCATAGCTGCTAGTCTCTCTTTCCAGTTTGCGCTCTCCAGCTGCTGTATGACGGGAGCAGACAAGACCGCCGTCGCTCTCTCCAGAACATCTTCCTCCTACGGAAGCGAGAGCAAGCGGGGCAGAAATTGACATGCAGACATCACGATAGTGATTAAGTACGCTTCTTGGCAGTCCCTCAGGGGTGTAATACCATTTTGTACGGCGTATTTTGTAATTTTCCATGTCCTGTTTTATGATGGTTGTCTTTGTCCTGATACACAAACCTGAGAAATAACAAAAAACTAATGACATTTCTACTGAAAGCGATTGTCCACTTTACCGAGAGCAGCGGCTCGGACTCCATTTCTCTGGCACCGTCGCTAGGTAATGCCTTCTTCTTGGCCCCTTTCTTTGCGCCTGGCTTGGCAGCATCTGACTGCAATACCAAGGGAAGAAAAATGAGTGCTCCAAGTTCATTTTG